AAATCAAATCTTGATTAAAAATATCTTGGTATTTACTTGATCAATTTTAATAAAAATTTTTATTTGTATTCTAAAAACCAACAAAGACCAATAAAGTAAAACCCAATGAAGCAAGACTCAACAAAGCCAAACCCAATGAAACAAGACTCAACAAAGCCAAATTTGACAAAGCAAGACCCAACAAAGCAAGATCCAATGAAGTAAAGTACAAAGAAGACCTAATAAAGCAAGATATGCACAAGAAGTATTAGTTTCGTTTAAAGAAAAAAAAATTAAACTATACAAAAAAGCATCTACCACATTACCAATTCCAGATTCTAAATCTAACAAAGAAAAGAAGAAGGAAGTATTAGTTTACTTAAAAAAAAATTATACAAAAAATACTACCATATTCCAGTTGCTAAATTTTAAAAGAATAAAAAATGTTAGTACTATAGTATATTAATTATCAAAACAAATGTACAAATGTAAACAATTATCAAAAAAAATATCACGTTATTAATTTTGTCTAATCAAAAATGCAATTGGTTGATCTTTAGTATAGGTGGACATGTATAATTATTATATAATTATAATATATAAAAATGAACTATTTTAAACTAATTTAAGTAATTTTATAAATTGTTAAGGTTAGAGTTAAGGTTAGAATTTAAATTGGCTCAAATTAGTTAGGTTTTATATATTATAATCTTGTAATAATTTATATATGCCCACTTATACTAAAGGAGATCTATGCAATTTACCAATGGTCAATAGAAACTTGAGAAGAAATTAGTAAATGCATATATGCGTAAACAATCCTATTTTTTAATCTCTGACCTTTCGAAATAAAAAAATTTTTATTAACAGAAAAACTGGATAAAATAATAATTATCACAGCAATATATACAAGAATAAAGACTAATGAATGAACTAGTAACAAAGACGAGGAGATTAAAGTATTTGTCGAACAAAAAAAAAGGTACTTAAAGTCTCTTGAAAATACCAAAGTTAAGTAATTTCTGGATGTCTTATATACTAAAGTTAATAAAAATGTGATAAAAATCTTGCTTGTAAGCATAATGTTATTAGTCAAAGGTCTATTTTTTTTTAGCTCTCAAAGATATTCAAAATCTCTAAAACTTTCTGATGCTATACCTTTTGTGTAAGTAACTAATAAAACTATAAAATAAATTTTCGTGCATTTTTATCTGCATATTAGCAAGCTTCCAATATGAAAATAGAGGCAAAATAAAAATATTTTAAAACTTCTTTAGCACCAATAATTAAAGAACTTACAAAGCTAGATCAATTCGATGATGATATTTTCTAAACTTCAATTTTAAAGGGTAAACTTGAATATTTGATAATTTTTTTCATATCTATAATATGAAAGACTATAAAAAAATCTTTCATTATATTCTGAACGCATGTGAAGTACTGATTGATAACGTCTTTTTATATAATTAATATTATTATATATTCTTTTATATATTACTCAAATATATTGATATCTACAAAATTTTTAGCATTTAATATTTTAAACAAATTCGAAAAGAATATTGAACATATAAATTCTGAGTACCAAATAGTTAATACTGAATTTCTAGAAGATTCATCTGATTTAGAACATTGTTCAGAAATCATGGACAATAGTGATTATTTGTTAATTATTAACAATTATATTAATTGTGATTATTTATTACCATCTAATATCAGTGTTGGCTTATGACCTTAAATGACCTATATGACCTTTATGACCTGTCATAGGTCATTTGGTCATAACGAAGG